CTTCCAGCAAATCTCCACTTTATGTTAACAGAGGTACAGAGAGGTGATGGAGAAACCTGCCCACAGTCACAGCTGGTCACTGGCGGTGCCTGACCTCAAACCCGGGGGGTCTGGCCCCCAGACACGCTCTCTTGATGGTCACAATCAACCTTCTCTCTCTCAGCCCATTTATTCCGACAGATGACACCTGTCCTGGGGGAATCTAAATGCCTTGGAGGTTTTATTTCTCTCCAGACAGCCCCCAGATTCCAAGAAGACCCCCTTGGGTAACCGCAGGTGTCTTTTATTTCTCCGGAAGCCTGCCCGTGTGGCACTCTGGGACCAGCAAGACCCGCGGGGTCTCATCAGCGCTGGGTCTAATGAGGGGAGATGCTCCGCAGCGTCCTGATTTGTCGTCTTCCCTCCCCTGCTGGGAGCTGGGAGGTCAGAACAGCTCACCCGGCTCTGCGGAGGAGAAATGATGTGCCCGTGGCTGGCGGAAGGACGGTGGAGTCCCCAGTCCCCCTGCAGCAGCGGCTGCAGGAACGGTCTGTTCCAAAGCTATGAAAACGGCAGAGTGCACCTCATTATCCCGCTTGCGGCCGGCCGGCCCCTGCTTTAACTGTAAACTGTCCCGACATCTCCAACCGAGATAATTACGGTGCTTCAGGGAACTTTTGGCCTTGCTAAAAATACCCGGCGACAGTTTGCGCGGCGGGGAGGCACTTACAGGTAGGTGATCCAGGGGCGATTCGGAGCCAGCACGTGCTGATTGGTGGGGGCCCTCCTGGCTGCCTGTCTCCCTCTTTGAGGTGCCCTCATTCCTCCTGTATCCAGTCCTCCTCGACCTCACACCCCCGCTTCGGACACTAGCAGGTTTAGGTGAGCTCAGTCCTACCCAACAGGGAGGGACTAGCAAGGAGATAAACCCCTTTTTTTTTTTTTTGAGCTTTAAACCATACTTAAATTTTCAGTGAGCTGTTACCTCTTGGTTAATTGAACCAAAAGTACAATTTTAAATGACCGACTATGAAGCTTTTCAAGTCAATTATAGAATGCATAAAGTGGAGATAAATTTGGGCGAAGGTGCAGAGTAGTAAATGTGCAAAATGGCAGATTGTGAGGGTTTTTTAAAAAATGTGTTTTTGGGGGTAGGGAGTTAGGTTTCTTTATTTAATGGAGTTGCTGCGGATGGAACCCAGGACCTCTGGGTGCTAAGCACACACACTGCCCTGAGCTATGCCCTCCCCCAGTAAACGCTTCCGTAATAGTGACAGGGGTGCTAAATGCACGTGGAAGTTCAATTAACACCGTACCGAAGAGGACAGCTTAAGTAAACCAGGATTCACCTGCTGCAACAGCAAAGTTAGGACCGGATGAACCGAAGACATGAGCAGCCCTGGGCATTCTCCTTTCACCCTGCTTCCGAAAAAGCAGCCCGGCTTTTTTCCTGTCCACGGTTTTGTGCTGTTTAGTTCAGTGACTGGCAGATGCTGCTGGTGGGCAGCACTGGGTGTGTGACTGTACACATGCCTGTCTGTCTGCATTTATACATACACATTCTCTCTCTGTCTCTCTCTCTATACACACACACACAGTACAAATTCTATCTGTATATAGATATGTCCATAGACAAAGGGATAAAGAGAATGTGTACTCTAGAGAGAGAGCATATTATATATGTTATATTAGGGGAGAGAGAAAAAGTATGTATGTAGCAAATATACAGATATTAAGTTTATAATATATAACATATATTATAAATACAATACATATTAATATTATTTGCATGTAAAATTTTACATATTATAAATGATACATTATTTTATATTATATTATAATAATATATTGCTTCATATTCTAACATAATAACTATTGCTTCACATTATAATATATTGTTTCATACTATATTATCATAACATATTGTTTCATGTTATATTATAATAATATATTGTTTCATATTATATATTGCATACCTGTATTATACATCAGACAGAGTGTGTAGTATATATGTATATACAGATAGGTAGGCAGATAGATATGAAGACAGACTGTGTGTGTGTGTGCACGTGTGTGTGTGTGTGTGTGCGTGCGCGTGTGTGCGTGTGGAACCAGGACATTTCTAAATTTTGAAGCCCAGCCGAGCACCGAGGATCTGCATGAGGGACTGTGGAGCTGTGGTGGGCTGTGCAGAGAAATATATTTGACCATCCAGTCTGTGGACCTGATTGCCTCTCCATTACAAAAAAAAGAAAGAAAAAGAAAAAGAAAAAGAAAAAGAAAAAGAAGAAAAAGAAAAAGAAAAAGAAAAAGAAAAAGAAAAAGAAAGAAAAAGAGAGCAGCCCCAGTTAGTTTCTGTTGCTTGCACTAAAGGACTCTGACCAAAAAAAAAAAAAAGTGTCAAAATCCATTCTTTTAAAAAAATTTCATCTCATCTCACTCTTAATTTTTAAAGAAATCAGTGATAAAATATACATAGCATTTATCACGTAACCATTCGTAAGTGCACAACTCCATGGCATTAAATACATTCATGACATGGTGTAACCGTCACCTCTGTCTACACCCAAAATTATCCTCAACAAAAACTCCATCCCCACTAGACAGTGTCTCCATCCCTCCCTCCCTGCATCCCCCGGTGACTTCTGACCTACTTCCTGTCTCTGTGAATTTGCCTATTCCAGGGACCTTGTTTAAGTGTAATCATACAATATTTGTCCTTCTGTATCTGGCTTATTCTACCAAGCACAGTGTTTTCGAGGTCCACGGATGTCATAGAATAATATCAAATTTCCATTCCTTTTAATGGCTGAGTAATGTTCCACTGTGGGTACATACCCCGTTTGCTATTCATTCATTTCTTGATGGACACTTGGGGTGTTTCCATCTTTTGGCCGCTGTGAATAGTGCTTCTAGGAATGTGGGTAAATGGGTAACTCTGCTTCCAATTCTTCAAAATCACTCTTGTTGATCCTTTACGAGGGCATAGTGCTGGAGACCCTCGTAACGCTGTCCCTCTGTCTCTCTCTCTGTGGGACAATCAGCTCACACACTTTCCCCTCTTCTTTCTCATACTGAACAAGTGTTGATGAATCTGCTAAATTTGAACTGTCTCCACTTTACGTTGGGGTTCTGCTAAATCATTAGATTTTCAGCAAAGCCCTGTCATTATTTCCAGAAAATTCTATGCTCATTTGTAACCAGGGACCCCAGCAAAGGCATTCCCTTCCTGCCATGTTTCCCCACCCCCTGGGAAGACTTAACCAGTCCTGTAGCCACCTCTCTGAGGTTTGCTGAGTAATAACAGCCAATTTTACTGAATCATGTCGAAAATAATGGATTAAAATCACTCTTCCCTGGGAACACATCTGTATCCCCCTAGGACCTACAGCATCGTAAAGCAACGTCAGATGCAGGGATTTCTGGCATCTAGCTGCCTGGATGGAGAGAAGAGTAATTTGAGCTGGAGGACTTTTCTGGGTGAGGAAGCCACCTCGTCACACCATCTGACCATCCATCGGGCTGTCAGCTTTGCACCAAGAAAGATGTACCGTCAGTCGCAGAGCCTGCCCGCGGCCCCAGCCCTGCTCAGCTGCCTACAACTGCTTTGCCAGGGAACCCTGTGGATCGTGTGAAAAACAGCCCCTCTCTCCCATGAGCAGCCAGAAAATCCACCCAAAGGTCATTCTGGTTTTTGAGAGATGTGACATTTCTTTTCAGTCCGTTCATGACAAACTGGGGGGTTGAAGCGTGTCGGTCTGTGATGCGCAGGTCAGGGGAAGACACAGGGCTCGTATTGAACTCCAGGAGCTGGGTGACTGAGTGGGGACCTGGTCCTGCACACACGCCGCTCCCCGGCTGGCCGCCGTGGGTCACAGCTGGCAGCACCCTGGTGCTGGGTGGTCCTTTTGTCCCATGGCTCCCGATGCACGGGTGGGTGTTTTGCTTTCCTCCAGAAGTTGGTCTCAGGTCTTCTTTGTGCCTTGTATGGACAGCAGAGCACTCCAGAAGCAGTGCTGGCATTCCTCACCTGCAAGGGGCAGAAGTGGGACTGCCCCCTTCTCCCAGCTGGTCTCCCCTGGTGTGCCCCTGCACAGGCCACGCCGCACACAGAGCCGTCTTGTCCAACTTGCAAACGAGTTTCTGGCCCAACCAAGAGCTCCTCACTGCACGGAGACTAAACTCCCACCTCCTGTCACGGCCACCAGGCTCCTGCCGTATCCCTGCCCCCGGCCCCGGCAGCCTCTCCCGCACCTCCTCCCTGCCCCCTCCCCTGAAGCCCCTCTGCCCTCCCCCGGCCCCAGGCTCGCTGCTCCTTGGCCCTGGTGGTCCCCTCTCCTGTGATAACCAGCTCCTCCCCCAACCCCGTGCTCAGAAGGGGGACTCTAAAGTCACATCCTGCACAGAGGCCTCATTGTCCACCTTCCCCAGAGAGCCGTCTACTCCAGGACGTCTCTGCCGTATCACCCAGTTTTATCATCTTCTTGGCGCTTGCCACTGAAACGACCTGGTCCATTTGCTGCTCTCCTGGCTGCGTGTCCGCCCCCGCCCCCACCCCTTTAAGAGGGGTCACCCTGACGGAGCTGGATCCCGGCCGGCAGAGGGGGCTCGAGGGCGGGGACGTTGAACACCTGTAACTTACTTAATACTGTCCATCAACTGTGCTTCAGTCAAATAGCTTATTCGCTTAAGCCTCAATATTTAATTGGAAAAATAAGGTTAAGAATAAATAAAACTGTGAATATGAATCCAATTTTTAAAAAAAGACTGAATGAATGAATAAGCACCCCGTGGAGCTGCCAGAAAAGTAAATGACGTGAGGTGTTTGAAGCTCTTAGCCCCGGGCTGGGCGTGCAGTCGGTGCCGCATTAATGCTACTGTCATTATTGCGAGTGACGGGTTTCATCTGGGCCACAGGCCGACTGGGTGGGGTTTTCAGAATGTTTTTTAAAACTGAGCCATTCATAAGATGCTGGGGGGTTTCCATTAAATCCTTCTTTCTAGGTTCTTTTTCCCTTCCTGTTGTCGGCCCCCCAAATCAGAAACTCTGGCAACACCAGGTTCACGTCCACGTGGCCGCGGCTGGATGGGTCTGGGCGGCGTGTGCCGGTTTCACAGCTTGCTGCAGGCCCCCCGCTCTGATGACTGTTCGCCCGGCCGCGGGAGCATCCGAGTTCGTAGGACGGATGGGGGCCTGGTGATCATAGTAAGAGCCGTGATTTCTGAGGGTCTGTCTGAAGCAAGGTCCGGGTTGAGGCGGGGGAACCGCGTAAATCCCCCTTTCCTGACCTCCGAAGCCACAGATGTACTGGGGCCCCTGGTGGCGGGGTGGTCTGGGCTGCAAAGTGCAGTGTCTGGGTTTCCCTCCGCCTGACGCAGGCCCACGGGGGTCACGGATCTGGCTGATGTGTCTGGGGGTGACATTGGCCACACGCTTCCCCTCCGGGAAGCTGACGCCAGCAGCGCTCTGCACCTGTGCTGTCCGGGAGAGCGAGTCCCCTCTGCTTGTAAACCCCGGGCTTCCTCCTGCTCCCTGACGCCCAGAAGTCCCCCTGCCGGGAGCGGAGCAGCGCCCCAGGCGGCCACCTCGCTCCGCGGGCTCCCGCCAGGAGCAGGAGGAGGGAGGGGGCACGTGTGGGACTGGCTGCTGGACGGAATGAGTAACGAGATGCTCTGGGAGGGGCACTGTTGCTCTGGGCAGGACCCACCACTGCTTCAAATTATCGAATGACCAGGAGTCCCCACCCCTAATGCCCAGTCCCCAGCCCCCCGACTCCCCTGCATGCTCTGCACACGGGGGGTGAGCCAGCTGCAGACAGCCACGTGATCCCTGTGGCCTTTCGGTGCACCTGACACTTAGGTCCCTGCGGTAAGTCAGCAGGGGGCCCTTCGGACGCAGGAGTGGTCCTCGGAGCGGTTAGAATGAAGCAGTGGCCCGGCCGCTGGTGGCTGGGAAGCTTCCGACTCTGTCACCCTGGACGTTCACGTTGCTGCAGGATGCCGCACTCAGATGCCTGGTGCTGGGGCACACTGGTGGCTCTTTGAATGTGGTGGAGCCATTCCGTGACAAGGGGACAGGAGGAATGGCCCCAAGCCGGCCTGCCCTCTCATTAAGGGCTCCTTGTTGTCATTCACCAGCATGAGGGTGTGTCCTTTCAGATCCCCCCAGACAGAGAGCTGACGGGTAAGGGGCTTTCTTGGGAAAGATACGCGTGTACATTACCCTGAAATGGAGCGAAAGGGCATTTTGCACAGTCAGCAATTCCGCAGCGCGATCCACCGAGCCTCCTGGTGCCGCTTTGGTTTGCATGTGCTTGTGGATTCCCTGTTCTGCTCAGCACAGTCAGAGCTGGGTTCTCTGTCGTTTACAACCCGGAGAGTCGCTGCAGATTTAAGAATCACGCCTGTCATTACGGTCATCAGCGGACTGTTGTCACCAGGACGCAGAGTACAGGTGGACGGACAGAATGCCTCCGAGGACATTCACACACGCCTTTGGAAAATAACTGATAGACGAGCAGTAGTTTCCCTGTGCCACTCTGGAAAAAAATCCATTAGACTCTTCCCAGACCTAATTCGGTCTAAGATCAACTCCTCTGAGGCTGCCACCGGTCAGAGTAAATACCGTATTTTCAGAAGACTTTTTATGCCATCCTAAGAGTCTCACAGTTACAGAATTCCCTCCCTGGTTGACGCTCCCTGGGGACACACAGAGAGGCACGTGAATCTCGTCGATGACTTGTCTCCAAGCTACATTTTCAGGAAGGTTTGCTTCGGGGGAGCATTCCTGCCGACGGCTCCTCCGTCCGTGGCGTGTGGCTTTGTGTTACAACCTCGTGGACGTTTTGTTGTCGTCGCTGTTTTCCTTTGAGGGGGAGACAATCAGGTTTATTTATTTTATTTTATTTTGAGGGGAGGTCCCGGGGATGGAACCCAGGACCTCGGGCACGCTAGGCACACGCTCTCCCGCTGGGCTGTGCCCTGCCCCCCACTTCTCGTTACGCCCTCATGGCTCGGCTTACATCATCTCTAGGAGACTCGGGAACTCGCCTTTCTGGGTGCAGTCAACAGTCTTTGGTTGCCAGTGACAGAAACTGATTTAGACGAATTTCAAGAGGAACGGCCTTGATTAGAAGGTGATGGGGTATCTTCCGAAACAGGAAAGTAGGCTGAAGAACTAGACTTAAAATGGACAGGAAGGGACCGAGCATCAGTACAGGCGTGGGCGGCAGAAGCTGAGGGCACGGCCGCCGACATCCTCTGAGCGGAGGACATCAGGGCGTGTCTGTTGATGGCTCGGCCAGCCTGCACCCGACAGGGGACACAGGGCTCCCCCAAAGCAAACTTGTGATGCTGTCCCCAGAGGAAGGGTGACCCCCGAAATGTCCAGACGACACACGACCACCACGCCCTCCCTTAACGGACCCTCTCTTGCTGGACGCAGAGGCTGTGTTCCGAGTGTGCAGCAACCAGCCCGGACACTGGCCAGCCAGACGGGACCTGGCCGCACACACCTGGGCCAGCCCGGGGCCGCCCGCGAGCGCCCGCCCCATGGCAGGTCCAAGCCTTTCCGCTCTTGCAGAACTTTCCCCTCGTCCTGGACGTTGCAGAGGTAAAAACAGACACACTGGTTTCTTGTTTGCATCTCTTCCTTCTCTCTGTGGATTCGTCTCTGGGTGGTTTGGAGCCAGGGTGTCTAACTGGGGGAGGGACTGTGACCTTGTCATTTCCACTCAGCATCTTCAGTGGGGTCGTGTTTTACCCGGGGGTCTCAGGGTTCCCACCGGAAAACTGGGGCAATGGGCCTTTAAATCCACCTGAGCTCAACCTAGTTTCTTAAGGTTTTGTTCGCCCCCATCTCTCGACAAGTGACAAAGTCATTAAGTGTAAAAAAACCCGCCGCACTCCCTGAATGAGACAGCCACTCCGCCTGCGGCTGTTTCCTCAGACTGAACAGCAAGATTGCTGTCGCTTTCAGGGATGCCAGCTGAGAGCCCACATCCTGCTGCCTGGTTAGCATCCTGCTGTCAGGGCTGGCTTTGTCTGGAGAAGCCGTCCCTTCCAAAACAAAGAGACAAAACCAAAAACACCCCCCCACCCAAAACAGTGCCAAAACAGGGTGCCTTGTCTTCTTGAAAAACAGTTTAATTGCCTCAGCGTTTAGAGGCAAAATCACTGGTGTGTTCCCTAATGAAATGTTTCACGCTATTTGGAGCCTTTGAGGGGAGAAAAGAAAAGTGCTCGCCCCCATCGATAAATCACGCTAAATCATCCCTGTTCTTTTCGAAGGAGTCCTTTTTCACCCTCCGTGTGTAGTATTATCTGCGTGAAACAGGCTGGCAGAGGCAGCAGTGACAGGACACTCTGAGCACATTTAATGAAGTAGCTCCGAACATTGTATCAAAATAAACGAAGTGAATGAAGGCAAGAGCTCATTCCTGGGTCCCTCTCTCTCTTTTCTTGCAACAATAACCGCTGTGCGAACCACACACCAGGGGCGATTCAGATGCACGGCGGAGTTCGAAGGCGCCTCTGTGATGTATTGCATACCAGGACACAACAGGCAGCTTCAGTCGTTATGTTTAATTCCAGTAATTCTTTGCAGCCGGAAACTGGGAAGAAATAGGGTGGAGAGGAGAGCGAGAATTGCAGCCTTTTCAAGCCCAGGTTTTTGCTTCTGGTTTCGTCGGATGGCAGCAGACAGGTTCCTGGGGTTTCGCTCCTCCGGATCTGCTGGTGGGACTCCCTGTGTCGTCCGGGGGAACACTGCTCAGAAGTTCGCGGCTCCCGTGGGGGCGGACCTTGGTCGTTTTTTTGACTGTCCAGTGCCAGTGACCCCTTTAGGGCAGCCCTCACGGAAGAGTGAGATTCTGCCTCTGGCAGCTGGGGGTCAGCACGTGGCCTGGTCTTGGTCAACCGGATTCTTTCTCCAAGAATTCTTGATTCTTGAGTAAGAGGTGCACGGCGGCGGAGGCTGTCGAAAGTCATAGTGATGGTGGGGACGTCAATGGCTTCTGTACCTTTTTACCTTTTAATAGCTCGGGATGCAGTATCTGTCTGTCTATAGTTCCTTTGTTTCCCGCTTTGTTCTCCACCCCATCCCCGGACTTTTATCCCCGTCGAGTCTCTGAGTCCTGACAGCTTTCCAATAATGGGTCAATTTCTATTGCTTGCAACCAAGAAGACCGACCATCTCCAGTAAGCTTCTCAGAAGAAAATGCCATTTTTTGTGTTGTTGTTGCCTCGAGGGAAAAACCTTAATCCTGGGGTTGAAGATAAGAAAGATAATGTTCAAAAAATTCATGAAACTCCGGCTGTGCGCCAGGAATTGTTATTTTAAGGTAGTTCACGGTCTTTCTCATTTTACAGGTTAGAAGACTGAAGCAGAGAGACGATAAATAAATTACTTAAGTGCATAGAAGTAAAAAGCAGAAGGACCAGAAATGGGACCCAGAGGGTCTGGGTCTAGTTCTTGCTTTTTGAAAAAGTTTATTTCTTTATTTTTTAGTGGAGGGTTCAGGGGATGGAACCCAGGGCTTCGTGCTCTGCCACTGAGCCCTCCCCTCCCCGCCAGCTCTTGCTTTTTAAGGACCGAGTTCCACGGTCTCTCGAACAATAAAACGGCCCAACTGTGCCTGCAGATCGGGAGAGCCTCTTGCCGTGTGGCCACGGGTGCGGTGGTGGTCTCTTTGGTGGGCGAGGTTGATTTGACGCTCCCTGTGGCTGCGTTCCCTCGGCATCCTCTCCAAACGAGGTACCGGGGAGCAGTGCATCCTCTTCCACGTTCTTATATCACATAGACAGCGCAGCAGGCTAGAAATACTGTGCATTTGGAAACACTGGAGGAAGCGTTGGCTGCTTTGAGCGATTATCCAGCAGCTGTGTTCCCTGGCTAAGCCTGCCGCCCCTCGTGCCTCCCCAGCCTTGGAGAATTAAGACTCCTCCGTCCAAGGGCACCGTGCTGTACTCACATCAGCTCTTTGCGCAGTATGACTGTGTCCTTTTTACACAGTTGACGGACGGCGTACAAAGCAAAATGCCTAAAATTTTGACCACAAACGGCATGTGGGGTTTGGGAGCCGCGGCTCGCCGGAAGTTGATTCTGAGACCAGGGAAGGTGTTTTGGGAGGCGGTTTCAGAGCAGCATAGCCGGGGATGCAAGAGGCCCAGCGAGCTTTCCTCAAGGCTCCTGCAATGCTAGGCAGGCAGAAGGCCACTGTCACCGTGTCCTTTGGGGGAGCAGGAGCCTTTATTGAATACCACCCTGCCCAGACCGCCGGGATCCACGAGCAAAGAGACGCCCCTCGCGTTTCCTGCAGAGTCTGAAGCGCGTGCGAGGTGCGCACGTCAAGTCCCCGCCCAAGCTCCGGCCGCCGTTCCTCACGGGATGGCTCACGCTTTGCCCAGCTGCCTTGTCCTCGGCCAACCCCGCTCTAATACCTGCAGATTTGGAAACACGACCCCGTTCCTCTCAAGTGACCTCGACCTCGAAGTCCTCCTCTGCAGAGCAAGGGGAAACAGCAGGCCCTGCCCCGGAGGGGCCCGCAGACCCTCTTGCGTTCTCCAGGGGGCTCGTAAGCCCGCCTGCTTCTGCCTGACCAAGCCGAGCGAGCTCTGGGCTCAGCCTTGGCCTCGCCGGCGCGTGATCACCAGCCGGCCCAGCTGAGGCTGAGAAGCCGCAGTCACTGCGGGAGCTCTTCGCCCCGGACACTTCGCCCGCAGCTGTAAAGCACAGGGCGCGTGCACCGTTTTCAGGAAGGCGAGCTCAGCTGGACCACTGAGAGGGGAGGCCGCCCTGGGGCAGCGGAACGCTTGGGAAACAACAGTAGGACACAAAGACGTCAAAGCCAGTCTTCTCTGTAGTAGTTGTCAGCCGGGTTGTCACCTGGAGGGCGTGTGCGTGTGTGCGTGCACATATGTGCTTACACGCCACACGTGTCTGTAGAACAAGGGTTAAGAATGCAGGCTCTTAGGAGAAAGAAAAATGCCATATGGTATTGCTTATCTGTGGAATCTTTAAAAAAAGGACACAAATGAACTACTTATTATTTATAACTTAGATGACTGATTTCTCGAATATGCGTGAGCACACATGACGGTCCTTTATGACTGGATCATGGCATTCTGTTGATCCTGATTTTGTAGCTGGCTTTATTCCTTTGATAACTATGTAAGTTTAAAAACCTAAAGCTCCAACCTGTTCTTAGAAACAATGGACAGTACGTGTATGTAAACTAAAAAATGTGCAGTGCTTTGTACATATGTATTTACAGGCAATGTATTGTCTATGTGCAGTATAACTATAGTAAAATTCCACCTAATAAGACTGAAAAGGAAAAAAATAAATTAAAAAAAGAGAACACAGGCTCTGAAAGCACCTGTCTGACTTCGTCTTCCGGGGGCTGCTACGTGTGCGCTGTGTGACCTTGGGCGAGGACCACGGGGCTGAGAACTGGAGCGCAGGCCACGGCTTCACACGGCTTCTCCAGCATGAGCGCGAGTGACAAGTCAGACAGACAAAACCAGGGTCCGTCCCACCCCACCTTTGTTCCATCCTCTGATTCTTTCCAGATCAAACATAGTTACCAGTTTCCAGTTTAAAACAATGTATTATTGTCTTTATTTTTTAATTGAAATATAGCTTCAGGTGTACTGCAGAATGCTTTGACATTTGAATAATTATGAAGTGACCCCACAGTAAGTCCGGTGACCGTCTGTCCCCACGCGAAGTTACTCCAACATGATTGGCCGTGTTCCCTACACTGTGTGTTGCATCCCCACGACTTACGTAATATTTAACTGGACGTTCGTCCCTCTCAATCCTCCTCACCTGTTTTGCCCCCCACCCCGGGAACCTACCCGCTGGTTCTCTGCATCTGTACATCTGGGTTTCGTTGTGTTTCGTGTGTTTGGTTGGTTGGTTTTTTAGATTCCACCTGTAAGTGAGGCTGTGGTATTTGTCTTTCTCTGACTTATCTCACTAGGGTCATCCATGTTGGCACAGATGGCAAGATTTCATCCTTTCTTATGGCTGAGTAATATTCCAGTGTGTGTGTGTGTGTGTGTGTGTGTGTGTGTGTGTGTATGTATATATATACACACAGACGACATCTTCATCTAGTTATCCGTCGATGCCGACTTAGGTTGCTTCTGTGTTTTGGCAATTGTAGGCAGTGCTGCTGTGAACACAGGGGTGCAGGTATCTTTCTGAATTGGTCCTTTCATTTTCTTGGGGTAAATATGCAGGAGTGAAACTGCTGGATCACGCGGCAGTTGTGTTTTTAATTTTTGAAGGCACCTCCGCACCACTTTCCGCAGGGGCTGCACCAGCGCACGTCCCCACCCGCGGTGAACGAGGGCTCCCTTTTCTCCACCCCCTCTCCCACGCTTGTTATCGCTTGCCGTTTACAGCAGTGACTCTGGTGGTGCGAGGTGGTACCTCACTGTGGCTTTGACTTGTGTTTCCCGGGTGGTTACACACGTCGTCACGTGTCTGCTGGCCACCTGCATGCTTTCTCCGGGAACACGTCCTGCCTCTGCATAAGCCCATAGACCCTGATCATAACCCAGGGAGCCCGAAGGGCCCCACGGAGTCTGTAGCCAGCTCCCTGCCGATGGGCACTGAGAGTGTATCCAGTGTTCTGTCCCTCCCGAGAGCTCTGCGAGAAATACCCGTATGCTTCCACCTGTCCTTGTCCAGTGTGCAGCTCCAGCTGCAGGGCAAGTCCCCTGGTGGTCTTTGAAGTGCTTCCTTTTGGTGGGGAGCTCTTGGTGAGGTACATAAATGATGCCATGTAGCCTCCATGCAAGAACAGGGCTCCCTGCCACCTGGTCCTAGAGGCTTACCCATCATCGCAGGCATCGGTGTCTGGGGCCAGCAGGCACCCTTTGCACCCTGCCTCTCTACTCGCCACCCCTCCCCAGCATCCGGCAGTAGCATTCCCCTAAGTGCCTCCCTGGGCCCCCCTCTGCCGGGCAGGCACACAGAGCCAAGGGCCGCGTTAGCCAAGACCCCTGCTGAATGGCTCGGTAGCGCAGAGCATCTGGAATCCAACCCCGCAGGCTGGCGCTGTTGCTCCAGGACGGCATCCTTGGCTCGTTCCTGACCTTGGGAAGCCATCCAGCGCTCGCAGGTGAACGCCAAATGCTAAGAGGGAAGCTATTGATCGGGAGGGGGGAAGGACGACAGAGAGTCATAAATGCTTATTAATGGCCGAGGAAGGGACCGATGCTGGGATTTCTGGCAGGAAGATAAAAGGGCCGAGACCAAAGGTTAAGAATTAGAACGTAAAAGCTCAGCGTTGGGAAGGCCGGCTCCCAAACCTGGCTGTCCCTCAGCGTCAGCAGGGGGAGCTTTGGAAAGACACAGACGCCCAAGCCCTGCCCGAGACCAGGTGACCTGAGACTTCTCGGGGTGGGTGGGGGGCGGCTTTTGGGCCACACTTGGTCAAAGGTCGCCAAGGGCGTTTCAGGAACTGCCAACGGGGCCCACCGGTGTGGCCCACGCCGTGCCATCCACGTGTGCCGTGAGTAACCCGTCTGGCCACAGGGGGCAGTGAGGGGGGTCTCATCATCCTGCTCATCTCACTCCGAACGTCCCGAATTTGGACCCCCGATGCTCCCGTGTCTGGCGGGGGTGCGGGGAGCCGGGCCGGCAGCGGGCGGGCTGATCTGCTAGTTCATCTCCTACAGGGCGTAGCACCTAACCTTCCTCCTTGTGGAGAGGCTCTGAGGCTGAATGAGTAACAGGGGCCCGTGGCTGACACTGGCCGGTCCTTGTCGCCCTCTGTCCTCCGAGCAGCTGGGGCCGCCCTGAGGTCGGAGCCGGGAGGGCCGGCACCTGCCGCTCACAGGAGTGGGATTTGGCACGGGGCTCCGTCCTGCCATCTCCTGGCAGGGCTAGGAGGCTGGGACGGGAGCGAGGGGCACAGCAGGGCGGGCTGGGGGAAGGGCCGGCAGCAGAGCCGGGGGGCCCCGCCAGCGCAAAGCCTTGGGGGCCCAGGGCACCTCTTGGGCGGCCCTGTCACAGAGTGAAGCCGAGTCAGGTCCT